CAGAGTTGCTCATTAAGGGCAGAGGACTTCTTTGAGTTCGCCCGTACAAACCAACTACGCGGCCATGCATTCAAAGTCGGGAATGAGCGAACACGTTTAGACCGACGAAAATTTTCATTCAGCCAGCGGGTTGTCAGGCCGTGGATCTCGCTTCCAAGCGAGATGGTGACGGCTGACACAGTTTGTGTGTTTAAAAGAAAACTTGCTCGTCTAGTTTTCGACAGAAATCGGCTTGTACAGCATGACTATGCTCAGCCAGTTTTGTAAAATCTGTCGTATACAATCTTCCGCACCAATTTGCAGTGACCCCATGCACTACCTTATGATTACGATTGAACTGTGACCCAATCACATTTTAAATGCCTGCAATTTTATTTTATTTTTGAGCATGAATCTGCGAAAGCACTGTACATTAATAGGGTTATCAAGGGCTCTGCCTGTAACCCTTCAATATACATACATACATGAATACCCCATAGGTTTTACCGAACAGACCTTTATCGATTTACACAAATCCTCTCCTCAGCGCAAACAACACCCTTATCGCACTTTTGGCTGCCCGTTGACACAGTGAGGATGGTTTCAACGAGGAGGTCATCAGGACGCATAGGACTTTCTGTTCCACAACATTTGAATGGGGCTGGCTTCTCGCAATCAAGCACTGATGCATCGTTTTTTGCTTCTGAGAACTGGACCCTTCTGCCACTGATATAATCACACTTACAGTAAAACGAAATGACAGTGGATATCTCAGATAATTAGGAATGCTGCACCAATCATCAACAGGGCGCAGGGTATACTTGGAATCTTATATCATTTCTGATGCTTACAGAAGCAGACATGTAGGTAATGTGAAAGATATGACGCAAAACTCCGAATAAGAGTCAATACTTAACAAGGATCACAGTAGGACATAAAGTTGAAAAAACGAAAACATTCCCAGGACTTTTAAGTTTGCGTTTTATTTTTACGACGATAACGATTGATATAGTAGTCTCAACGTTCATTACATTGATTTTTAATTTGCGCTGAACGTTGTTCTTGTAGGTTCATTGTTTGACCAGCACAGCTCATTGCTTAATATCCTGTTTACCTTGGGCCTTCATAATGTGACTTATGTACCCCGTCTTGCTGGAGGTAAAAATTTTTTCCGCTCTCTTCTCTCCGCATTTACCTTAGCATATTCGATGCTTTTCCGCATTATCGACGGTGCAAGAAGTTGTGATTCACTCAGCCTATAGCCATTTACCAAACATTTTCACCCAGGCGGTTTTTTGAGCGATTAAGTATCTTTATTGGGCTTTGGAACTTTGCAGGTACGTGTCATCCCAAGTACGCATCACGGGTCTGGACCTGGGCAAGGAAACCAACAAGTTACAATGTAGGAAGACCCCGCAGCACTTTCAGAATTAAAACACGCTTAAACCCATGATCCAAAATTAATGACGCCTCACGAAGAGAAATAATTGTTTTACAGTCAACTAGTTGTAGTCCAAGTGGCACACGACGAGTGGTTTGTTTATTTGCATCCATTTAGTTTTTGTTCGGCAAGCGCCAGTCTAAGTCCGTGAAATTAGACGAGTGGTTACTGCAGTTGGAACGCAGGGGATTTCTTATTATTTTTAAATGCACTGTGAGGCAGGGTGTGCGCTTCGGCGGTGTTTGTCTCAAAGGAACTACCAGCTTCTGAGAGTTATCGGACAAAGTTACTTTGGGGATGTTTGTTTATGTCTTAACTTAAAAAACAGCCAGAAAGTGCAATTTATTAATTTAAATAAAGTCTTTAGTGCATTATAAAATCCATAGACGTGAAGAACGCAAAGAAGGATGGGAAGAGGGCGGCGAATATGGAATGTGCAATCTTACTGCGACTGCAGCATCCAAACATTGTGGAGTACAAATCATCTTTTATACAGGATGCTCATCTATATATTGAAATGGGCTTTTGCGCCGGCGGTGACCTTGACTCCTACTTACAAAGTAGAAGTGGACAACTGCTAGACGAGATTGAAGTGCTTGATATACTTGTTCAAATTACCATGGCCCTGGAGGTATGTGTTAAGGATTCGAATCTCGAGCCCATGTGCACAGTATGTACACAGCAAGAGCATTTTGCATCGTGATCTAAAGACGAAAAACATTTTCCTTACGGAACCTAGACTTATCAAAGTAGGCGACTTTGGAATCGCACGGTAAGAGGACGTTGGACCTTTTACTTTAGAATTCTCGACGAGCCCCTCTCATTGGCGAACACGCTGACTGGTACTCCATACTACATGAGCCCTGAACTGCTAACAGGAAGGCCATATAATCACAAAGTGAGAGACTGAGTTTTTTATTTTTGAAAGTCCGATATTTGGTCTCTAGGGTGCGTAGCCTATGAAGTTACTTCGTTACATCAAGCTTTCTCAGCACAGAATTTCCACGATCTCTCGTTGAAAATTTTGCTGGCAAAAGTACGGTGAATAAAATCTGCTTTAGTATTGTTAGACGCCTTCAGTCCCACAAAAATATAGTACATGTTTACAAAGATTGACTGGCGCAATGCTACGAAGACAGCCGGAAAAGAGGCCTAGCGCAAGAAGAATTCTCCGAACATCATATATTCGAAGCCATATTCGTCAGTTTATCAAACGAATGGACACCAGGTATGAGCGATATTTACCTCACTGTTCAAGCCCATTTTCCACTGCAAATACGATTTCTTCTCTCCAGAATAACAAGTCAACTGTTAAAATGGAGAATACGTCCGAATTAACAGTGAGTACAATCGCTGCAGTCTTTCATTAATGCAGGTGTCAGAAGAAAATATGATGTCTGTTAACCGTGCTGTTAACAACGAAATATAGTTACTTCACTTAAAAAGTGACTAAGAACATTCGCACATATATGTGAGAGGCCACGTTTTTGTCTCTTTATTTTCCCGACAGTTTAAAACCCTAGTAACGGGACGTTAACTTCCTTTTCGAAGTCATAATGTCTGAAATAATGGCGCATAAGTTAAATTCCTACCTTTGCACTAAATAGAGAGGGACGGTTTGCATTAGATCCGGTGCATTTATCACTACAATATGTTGTACAATTATTTTACACGGTTCTTTACTAACGGGCAGTTTTCTTCGGAACAGTATTTAGACGGAAAACTCCTTGGCTTTCTTTAACAGTCGAAAATCTAACTTACCCCATGGTTTCAGGGGGTCGTCCTTTCTGCTGTTTTTGTAGTTTTGAATTCATGTTTGCTCTTGGGCGAAGTGTTTGAATGACTTTGAACGCCTGACCGATTTTATCAGTTTAGATAGATTTTGCTACAATTAATCGGTAGAGGTACTGACATTTTTCCCCCTCACAAACAAGATTAAGATTTATATTTTATTTTTCTTGTAGCATATTGTGACATACTGAAATATAAGAAATGGGAAAAATATTTTCTCATGTCTTTTAAAGCTTTTAGAAAGCACTTTGGGACGCTGTGACGATTTTCACGAAATTGCACCTTTTTTAAGATTATTTGAAAGCCTAGGAAACCCACGTCGTTATATGACAGTTACCTTGTAGCTGATTCGAAAAATGAATACTTAATATATGTTAACTCCAGTTCGTGCACTCATCTAAATCTGCTGTTTTTAACAATTAACCACATTTTTATGACTTGGCTTTTTCAGAACAGAATTCAAGATTATCCCTCAGAGACGCGTAGCAAAATTCATGATTTACCTGAACAATTCTCAACCGAAGGTCTTACACCACCAACAATTTCCTCAGCAAGGCAGCGACGACGGAAAAAACGTATAAGTGAATTCAAGTTCTTTGAGCGAGCTGAATATGACGCAGAGATGTCATAACTTTTTAGGAATGCAAATGTCTAGTGTTTATTTTTCTAACTTAGTGTTCATTAGAAAAATCAGAAAAACCCACGATTATGTTGCACTACTACATTGTCATCGGCGGACGAATCGATCTTTGTAAATTTCTCCCGTGGATATGGGCCCATTTAAAACCTGTTGTCCTGTGGTGACCGTTTCTGACTGGGTACTTGTTCTGCAACCTTTTTGCGATCTTTCATTTTCTTACGCGTCTCGATGTTAAAAGCCATTCGGAACATCCTTTTAACACATGTTTACGGACGAGATCTAGCAAGTAATTAACTAGGTCATCAAAATTACTTCCTGTCTAAGCCTCTTGAAGGATACTTCTCAACGGTGGCGGAGTTTGAATAAGGCAGAGGCGACAAAGCATGCAGAATTTACTGACGTCATAAATTTTGATTCCTCTCATTTAGCTGCACACGGTCATTGCATAGTTATATTACAAGGCCATATGAACAGGGCTATATGACAAGACTATATGAACTACCAAAATTGCACAAACCAGGGGTACCATTACGACCAATTTTAACAATGAGGAATTCACCTCTACAAAAGCTTGCCCAATGGTAAGTCCAACAAATCTAAACGATCAGACGCAACCTTGCCGTTTACACTACCAAAGACACTTTCGCCTTCGTAGATGAGATGAAGAATCAAAATTTACTAAATAAACTCATGATCTCGCTTGCCGTGCAGAGCCTGTTTACGAACGTGTCACTGGATAAAACAACCGACATAATTTGTGAGGATGCGGGTGAAACACGCTTGCCACCAGAGCAACTGCGGTAACTAATACACATATGCACAAAGAATTTACAATTCTTGTTCAACGGGCAGCTGTATCGACAGATCGACGGTGTAGCTATGGGCAGTCCATTGGGGCCAGTCCTAGCGGACACTTTTATGTCTAGTCTCCAGCGAAAGCTAGCCCGGAACTTACAACGAGCCTCATTATATAGGCGATATGTGGACGATATTTTTACCATAGTCAGAAACCCAGGCGACGACGAACTACTCCTCAAGGCCCTAGACAAAGCACATGCAAAGATCAAATTTACGATCCAGCATGAGGAAAACGGCTCACTGCCTTTCCTGGAAATTCTTCTATCAAAAAACCACCTGGAAAGGACAATACATGCACTTCCTCAGTTTCGTTCCAATTCAGAGAAAACGGAACTTGGTTCTGTGTCTGTTCAGCAGAGCCACTAGAATCTGCTCCTCAGATACCATCGATGACGAGCTTACTTTCCTAAAGAACGTTCTTCTCGCAAACGGGTATCCGGAGAAATTCGCTGATAAATATCGCTATCCCAGACAAGGTATTCCTGAAGAAATATCTGTACCAAAAAGCCAGTAACCATCTACCTCCCCTTCAAGGGTGATAACGTGGCAAACGTGATCAAACGACGACTTCGGTGCACAATCGAAAGGACGTATGCCGCCTCTAACTTGTTGATCGTAGGCACTACAACGGCCATTCCAGTTAGACCAGCTAAAGACATTTTGCCTATGCACGCCACATCAAACTGTATTTATGAGTTTGCATGTAGTTGCGGATGCAGGTACATTTTGCACAAGCAAAGACATTTGGCAACTCGGTCAGCTGAACAAATGCGAAGTGGCTGCTTTAAGCGGAGAATAAGGTGCGCCGGAGCTCAATCACAAAGCACCTAGTGGACACGGACCATACGGTAGACCAAATGGCTGCATTCAAGTCCTGTTTCGGGCGACGACCGAGCGTCCCTTGCGCTTTGCAGAGGCCGTTACAATATGGAGGAGGTAACCGAACTCTATAAGCAGATGGACCACGTGATAAACCTGGCACTACTATGGTAAGCATCGATAATGGACGAAACCCTGTTCCCATATAAGCCCTCTCATTTCGCCCCCACCCCCCCCTTCCCCGGCATGACTGAATGCTGCCCGCGCGTTGCACTTTAACTCACGCCGGACAAGTTCTCACTTTTATCCTAACTCGCATACTTAGATGAATTCTCTCCCCCTCCCCCCTCGCCATGCGCACCCGCATACTAGACCCCTGTTTAATGTTACCTACCACGTTTTATCTTTCTAAGTCGATCGCTGATTGAGCAGTTTGCCTTGTCATATAACTCTGCAATGACCGTATGCAGCTGAATGAGGGGTCTCGAAGTTTATGACGTCAGTAAATTCTGCATGTTTTGTCGCCTTTGTCTTATTCAAATTCATTTCGGGAAAACATTGCTCCAATCTACTGAAAAGGTGGCGGAGTTATCGCGCCTGGTAACAGAATTTTGAAGCAGATGTCTATCTGATGCAAGTAGTTAGTAATATGAATATGTAAATGCATGTGCGACTCATTCTTCGGGCTTTAATAAATGGTCTGAAGGAAATCAAAGCGACTCTTGCTTCATACAAGGACTCGTTAGTTGGGACATTGAGTTCGCTCCACAGAATTTTAAGATTCATCGACGAAGCAATCAGTAAATATAGTTCTGGCTCTTAGAGAGCTATTCGTTTGTTCTCCTCGCATGGACATAAATTTGACCAAGCAGTGAGTGATCAATGGTGAAATGTCGTGCTGAACTAGGTTTATGGGTGCCACCAACCTCTTGCTATGAAGGGAGAGAGAACGCCAAAGTTCGATTAACCACTTACGTTCTCAATTTACCCTACCTCTTGTATTTAAAATTAGCCAGCCAGCTAGAGACTGCCTTCGTCAAGTCTGCTTGTTTAATCCTGAAATCCAGTTTACGTATGTTTTAGCTCACGCCAAGTTATTTAAATACACAGTTTAACGCTTGTAAGATTGTCTACTAGTTATGAAAGGCAGTTGTGAGTTTACGATAGATGTTCTACTGCCTTACTTCAAAGAACGCTTTTAGGCCACTTTTAGATGTCTCACACAGTTTTGTAGGTGTTTTCAGCCTTACAAATATTATTTACTTGTCATTAATAATACCGTACTTATTAATTACAACCTGTTTCTAAATACTTTAGGTATGCAAAAAGCGACGTTGAGCTTAATTACGGACTCTAATTCCACTACGGTAAGAGAACAAAATATGCGCCCTTTTGACTACAAATGTGCCAATATAGTACTTGCGTTCGAGCAAACCTATTGATACGACTGAAGTGTCTAAAAATAGCTCTGTTTTCCGCAGGCATCATTTAGAGGCAAGTGGTCGCCTAAGCGTTTAAAAAACGACCTAACAAAACATCGCCTGTCCAGTTGCAAATTTCATTTGGGTATAGCTATTGATGGAGTTTAGAATATGCTTCGGCTTTATACCGTCTTCCTTCTTTGATGGCTTCATAAAAGCAGCTGAAGGTTCTGTCTGAAATGCAAAGGCATGAGGATTTACGGACATGCAGCGGTCGTTAAATCAGAAACGTGTCCTGGTGAGAGATTAGATTTTGCTGTTAGACGTGTTTTGGCGTGGTTGAGTATAAGCTTACAGACGATTCACCCGGTTGAGAAGTGGGGAACCGCGGAAAGTAATTTAAGTACTGTCATTCTAAACCTCTAGTTCGATCCTATTTTGGAACATGAGAAAATTCTTGAAAATCTTTGCAATAAATTGTTTTGCTTTGTTACACTCCCGAGCTGCCGATCTGGCGGGTTTCTCTATTTGAATTCGAGGAAATTCTGTTTTCGGACTGGCAGACGA